AAAAAGGTTGGAATCAATCAGCCGCAGCCCTGTTTTCTCCCACATATCGGAGACTTTGAATGGATTGGATACAATTCGGACAAGAAATAGGCAGAGAGACTTCGTCCATGAGTTATACAGGTACGTTAGCGGTTTCTTTCTGTAGAAGTGACGCCTTGTTAAAAAAAGGAATTTCTGCTTTGCACCTTCAAACAAACAAGTTGCGGAAACACGCGGAACAATTACCAATTTCTTTTTCCTAGATACCAAGATACCCATAATCAGATATCTATCATGGTGATGGCCAGTGCCAGATGGCTCGGAGTGCGCCTGGACGTTGTTGCTTCCCTGATAGTTGGTTCAGTTGCTGCAGCAACAGCGTTTGTGGCCCAAGATGCCGGTAAGTATTAAAGGAGGGAATGTTTTCGGTTCACTTTCAACAAACATAAAAAGTCATTAACTTTAAGTTAGAGAAATATCTGATTTCTTAATGAGAAGTTGACTTTTAGCATCATCATTGTCAGCATTCATTATCGTCGTCATTGCCGTTGCAGTCACCGTTGTTGTTGTCTTCGTCGTCCTTGTTATCATTAGTTTAGGAAGTTTAAGAAACTATAAAGAAAAGAACGACGTTAAGACCAGTAAACGCAGAGAACGAGAGACGGAAACAAGGACGTTTTGGGCGGCAAAAGGAAACTAAAGCGATGTTGTTATTTAAAGACGACGGCGTTTGAAATTTCGGTTAACTTCGCGTCGTATAGAGATATAACATCCTTCGGGCGCATTGAAAACTTTGCTTTTCTTAGTTATTTCATTTTTAAGTATTTCTTCTAAAAAATCAAGCTGTGAAATCTTAACATCGATACCACTGTCTCTTTCTTCTTACAGTCGAACCTGTATTAAGCGGCACCGTAATTAGCGGGCACTATGTATTAAGCGGTCAGTTGTCTAACTTCCGAAATTTTTACCCCTTATTTACACAGTTTTTTTAAAACGGAACCACTCAAGCAAAACTGAGAATAATCCTTATCGTAATATTTATCGATATTTATCTCCCGTAATTAATGTTAATTGTTTTATTGAGCGAATTTTTGTATATTAAGCGGTCAATTATGGCCCATGATGACCTTTTCTATCGATTCTTTATAATACTCTATTCTGCTGTATAAAGCGGTCAACCTGCACTAAGCGGTTACCAAGCCATTTCTCGTGGGTGACCGCTTAATACAGGTTTAACTGTTTTTCGATTTTAATCCTGAATTTGTTTTGTTAAAAGATTGTATCGGTCGTGGACTGACTTTCCTGTGACTAGGAACTTTCTCGGTGGTATGGCATTAACATTATTTGCCAGTGCTTCTCGTTCTAGATCTGATTCTAGATTTGTAACGTTCAATTGCAAGAACATCTAGGACGTAATTCAGTATATCAAGGTCAGTGTTCCATTGTTCCGAATATTTTTTAATCTCGGTACCTATATTAACTGATGCAACTTGAACGTCGTTATAACATTTACAATACCAAACTTTAGGTAAATTGTATGACAACGAGGTAAATTATGTGTTGTACGTAACGATCATCTATTCTGCACCATTTTTGCCAGATTTTCAAGGTGGATAAACAAGTAAACAAACTATAATACATAGACTTAGCCAAGCCTAAAAGCGGAGGTTGAAAAGTTCTAGATGGTATTTCCTCAAGTTTGCCATTAATTGAATTTACTGAAAGGTGGAGTTGTTGCAACATTTTAACATGAAATGCAACAATAAATTTTATTGATATGTAAAAGGTATTCATTTGACTATCTGCTGGCAAGTCTTTGTATTTTATTTCAACCCAACTATTTTCCACAACTTGTAAACACCATTAAAAAATAATTAGTCAGGGAAATGGAAAATTTGTGGCATATACACCATGTTTGAAATGTCAAGTCCATAGTAAGCTAACAGGATTGAGAAGGGTATAAGTGGAAATAGTATCTCTTGTCTTCATCATTAATTTGCTAACTGCTCCTGTTGGCAACGTTTTGATGAGGTTGGGTTGTCAGGGCAAAGAAAATGAGGATTTTAGTCGGCAGTGACTTTTTCAAACCTGGAAACTACCATCATGAAAGCCAGACTTGTGCCTGGTAACTCATTCTTATTCTGATGAAC